TGGTTTGGTTAATTTTCTTTCATACTCGTTCTGTTATTTTTGCTTGATTGTATGAGTTGCATATTTGCGTGTTTATTTGAGTCTATATGCAATACGGTTCTTAAATCAGACTTGTCAAAGATTAAATCCCATATTTGCGTGTTTATTTGAGTCTATATGTAATACGGTTCTTAAATCAGACTTGTCAAAGATTGAATCTCTTGTTCTATATTAGCCGTCTATATGCAATACGGTTCTTAAATCACACTTGTCAAAGATTAAATCTCTTGTTCTGATCCTTAAGACTGCGTCAACATGAATATAATATAAAAGTTGAACGGCTGCAGTACAACGATTTTCATCCGTCCTCATCTGGTGAGATCGAAAAACAAATCTCTTCTTCATGTACTTTCATTCGAAATGAAGGTCCCCCTAACAATGTTATCTCATGAGCTTCATCAAAACCAAGTTTCTCTTCGTATCTACAATGTTTTAGAATAGACACATTGTTTTTCACAGTTTTCACACTCCTAAATCCACACCGTGATATAGCATTTAAACTCATTGAAGATAGATTTCTAAGCTATTAGTAAAGCTTTAGTAACGTTCCACTCAGCCAAGGTGGCATAACACGATGAAGGACTGGTAGTGCGATTTTCCCACAATGATATGATTAGATCTTATGTTGCCAAAATGTATTCTCGTCCAGGCAGAGGCGGATTGCAGTTTAGACCTCGTTTGAACTGGTCTCATCAGCACCTCCAGCGGGGCTCTAACCATGACAACGTAGCGCATAATCTCTAAAACCTACTTATAAACGAAACAAGTAGTATAGTAGATTGCCATATGAAATACAAATTTGTTTCATCGGCAATCCCATCAGTGAATGTGATATGGAAAATTGCCCAGTCTTTCCTGAATTCACATCTGCCCTGTGACCCAAGGGCATTCGTGGCAATTTAGTGCAGTGTCTAACTGGGGGTGTTGATAAGACCATTTGGGATGATGTGGAAACTGCAGTCCCCTTCAGCTGGGATAGGAATACCTTTAGGGAAAGAAAGCGATGTGAAATTCACTGAAAACTTGGGGTTTAGTCACATGATTGTGGGAAAATTCAATTACTTGTCCCCTTTGTCATCTTAAAGGAAATATAGTGAGTGAGTCCACACACTTTTTGCTTGATACTTGATACTGATACTGGTGTCTTTTGTGCTTTTTATTTTAAGTATCCTTACTCTATTTCGTTTTTTTGGGATGATTGTTCATGAATCATGCTTTCTGGCTCTGACGATGTCCTTCACGTGGCGGATGAAGAGTCCAAAGCCACTTTACAAATCCCTTGCAACATGTCTTTTTCTATTTCACTTGACTACTTATATTCATTGCAAGTAGGCACCGATGCTATCAATTCGTCTTGAATACACGTTCTGGCTGTCAGTGTGAAAAAAATGCAACCTTCAGCCATTCATCATCGCATACGACCCAGGCTAACGACCGCCGCGATGGGCGGGTGCGAGACGCGAGAACCGCAAGTGAGACCGGTTTGGTGAAGATGCGGAACCGGTGGTAGGGGTTGAGGCGAAGGCGGAAATCTGCCTGAGGGTGTGCCGGCCAGCAGCGTCTCGGCAAAACCTGTCTCCTCAGCGGAAAGGAGTCGTTTCACAGACACATGCTTACGCGGCCATTTCTGCCGGCCAGTGCATGTAGCATTATATACTTTGCCTAACCGCAAGTTAACTCAGGGAGAGGATAAAGTGAAGTATCCATGCAGAACGAAGGCCAGACGTATTGGGCACTCAACCGAAAATCGATGTGCAGGACTTTTGTAGTAGAGATGAGGCATCAGAACATTCAGATGGCTTTACTCAGCTCTCCTCTGTCCCCATCTTCACATGCCTCTGTTTGTAATCGCATGCTTTCGCCTTTTCATTCCACTTCTTTCCAGCCTCTCCTCCAGTCTCGCCTCTCCGCTTCCTCTGCTCCACTGCCTGTCCGTCGCAATCGTCGACCGAAGCGCTGCATGTCCCGGCCGAGCAGTCCAACGGCAATCTGGACACGTCAACCGGTTCACCTCATCTTGCGCAGCCGACTTCAGCCTCTCTTCCGCCCTCCCTGACGGACTGACCGACTGGGCACACGAACAACCTCGACGCGGATACAGAGACAAACACCGATTAGGCCGCCCAGGGGCATGCGCGAGTTTGAGCATATTGGGGCTTTCGTGTGTGTTCATCCGTTGCCCCGTTGAAAATCAATCGGCTTTTCTGTTTGTTTCAGTCGAGTTAGGCGCGAACACTGAACATGAGGAATCATTCTACAGCAAAAGTGATTGGATTTCGACAAACCCTGTCCCCTCGAGGGTACTCTTCTGCCGGCAGAAACTATGTTGCCCCGGCAACTGGGTGAGGACCACCGTTCGATAAGAAAGATCGGCCAATGCTAATTGGAAAAATTAGGACTTGTCTGCCCCTCAATGCGGGTTGGAAAGGCCTTCGTTGTCGGGCCGCTGAACGACGGAAGCTGGGAGAATTGTTTAATACACTCCCTAGACTTAGACGAGAAAAACTCGAAAGCGTGGCTCCTACGAATGGAGGGGAAGTAGGTCGAACGTTTTTTTGGATATTAACCAACTGAGATAGTATTT